CTCGCGGGCTTGCTGAATGGCCAACCAACTTATAGGGAGGTGCTCGTTCATGGAGGCACTGGCATTGCTAGAGTACTTCCTGAGAAGCCAGGCCTGACAACTGGTATTCTAAGATCCTGTCTCTGCAAGATGAATTGGAGATTGTTTCCCCACAAAACTGGGGACTGAAAGTGCATCCCCAAAGAGATGGTTTTATGCCATTTACCAGCCAGTCCTCCCCATGGAACCCAGTGGGGCTTCTTTGAATAGATGTTTTTGAATGGCACTGTTATTCGCAGAGAAGTATGTGCAGGGCTTCTGAAATATCTATAATCAATGTGAAATTCAGACCATTATTTATAAATCCATAATTCCAGGAATGAACTTAACACCTAGTTGAATTATTCCAGAAATGAATTAAGCACTTTCTGGAATGCTTGACCAGCAGATGTTAGAAACATAGAAATAGAAAAAAGAGTGAGTCAGAAGGGTCTCCTCCAGTTCCAGCTGGCTCTGCTCATGACATGCCCCTGGCTCCAGCCTGTCCATGCTGACCATTTTATTAGGCTTTATGAACGCTAACAGCAGTGAAAGCTCTGGTACTTCTTCATACAAGTCCCACACAAGGTGCCTGCTTAGTACTGTTAAGGGTCTCCTTCCAGTAAGACCAGGGGAGACAGAGAAACAGCATACAAGGGGGTCAAGCAGTGAAAAGACTTCCTTTTATTCCTTTTCCATTTTAATGCTTATAACCAATTTCTTGTGTGGCTTACGTTGAAATGCAAAGCATTGTTTAATATTTAACGAGACCAGCAGAGGAAAGAGAAGGAGGAAGCGAGAGGGAGGAAAAAGCAGTAGATAAGGGTTTTAAAATAAACGATGTTCTGCCTATGTTCATTCCATGGTTGGGGGTCCTGCTTACCAAGAAGGAAATGCACCGGCAGGTTTCACCCTGGCCTCCTCTCTGGAGGAACTGGCTGGTGACCACCCTTCTCCTGCAAAAAGCAAGCAGCCAGGTTCAACCCACCAACCCACCAACCATCCAGGCTGAAAGAGTTACCACATAAAAATGCCAATCCCAGCTGCGTTTAGGGGCTTTGAGAACCTCACTGGTCTCCAGGACTTACTTTGCTTGAGCGCTCAGCCTCAAGATGCACGTAAAGCACTAAAGACGATCCCTAAAACAGACAAAGAGACAAAAAAGGGAAGTATCCCATGGGAATGTGAAGGATTCCTTTTCCGCACCTCTGAAACCTGCAGCTGTGTTGGGCGAGGTGAAAGCCCTGCTCTTTCCTCCCTGGAATCATTTCTTGCTCTTTGAAGGCAAGACCAGCAGGGGAAACATTAGAGTTCCTACTAGCAGGGGTGTTTTAAGTCCTCAAAGTTTCAGGGCCCAGGAGCATAGGACAGAAATATCAATATGCTGATATATTCCCATATATAGAAATGTAGACATACTTCATAGGACCTAATCCAATTTTACCAAAGGCATAGCCAGCCAATTTTCTTCCAAATCATCCCAGATGAAATTAATTTTCACCCCACTCTAGAAAGTCCCAGACCGGCAGTTGCAAGCCCTGACCGCCCCATCTCTGCTTTACCCTTCCTCCCATTTCTCCCTGTGCCCCACCTCCCCGCACAAACTCTGATAACATTGCTCCTTTCACATAAGCACGAAGGGAAAGCCTCCGCTGGTACCAGTGGGCACTCAGGGCTCTGGGGAGTAGATCTAGGAGTTATGTTTAGTGCTGAGGCCCCGTGAGTCCAGGCTTGGCAATGCCTGTTGCCTGCCTGTGTGGGCATATCTGCCCCCCACCCCCATTCAACCAAAGTCAATGGTGGGCTTTGTTGGAGAGAGAGGAGGCTGAGTCACATATACTCAGCTTTTTGGCTGTAGGATGCATGTTAATTTTAATGACTGCACCTGGTAGAGGGTAGCAGCTGAATATGCTTTTGTGTCTTGTTTGGAGGGACTATGTTGGTGTGGTGCAGTGGTTAAGAGCATGGGAATGGGACTCAGACGACCCGGGTTCTAGTCCCCGCTCAGCCATGGAGCCAACTGGGTGACTTTGGGCCAGTCACAGACACTCAGCCCTACCTACCTCACAGGGTTGTTGTTGTGGGGATAAGACAGAGGAGGAGAATGATGTAAGCTGCCTTGAGCCCTTTGTAGGAAAAAGGCAGGATATAAATCAGAAAATAAATAAATAAATGTTACCAAGGGGAAAGATTTTTAGATTATTCTTGCAGAAGGATGGTCCACCAGCAAACTTCATCGTGATAAAGACAGAGCCATTCAGTTCCCTTGGTGGCTGGTTTAAAGTTTTTTTCAGCTTCTTTGTTTTCTCTTTGCTAGGAGTTCCTTTGGTGAGTTCTGGATAAAAAAAGACAGCTTGTTTTAGTTCCATATTAGTCAACAGGAATAAATCAAACCTTGCCTATCTTTCTCAATTTTCAAGTGTCATTTTCAGTTGTCACATTTTTTTCCAGGAAAGGGAATTGTTTATCATCTTTTTTGTGCATTTTCTTCCCGCAGGCCATCCAGATTGTAATTGCACTGGTACACATTGGTTTTGCATCCGTCTCAATTGTCCTTTTTAACCATAGATACGTGCTTTTGACTACTATTTCCGGTTATCCATTTTGGGGTTCAATATTTGTAAGTAATATATTATATATCTCTGAGAACCAGCGTGCTTCAATATATATGGCAGGGTGGGCAATATGTGAACCTCCAGATGTTGTCGGATTACAATTCCTATCAGCCCTAGCCAGCATAGCCAATAGTACAGATTATGGGAGTTACTGACCAACAATATCTTGAGGGGCAGAAATCTCCTACTCTGGTCTATGGTCTTGAACTTAGATTTTGCAGTTCTAAATTCAAATTGCTGTCCCAAAATTGTTTTTTGTGTGGGTAGAGAACTGGGTATCAGTAAGGAAGCATGTGCAGGTTTGGAGCATAAACATCCCTGTGAAGCTTAAAGACATCAAGCAGCTTTTCCTAATCCAGTACTACAATCCGGGACTTCAGCTCTCATCAGCTTTAGTCAATGTGGCCATTGGTCAGGAATGCTGGGAACTGGTGGCCACCAGATTGGGAAGGCTGAAAGAAACAGTGATTGGGTTCACTCATCTTTCCCCACACCTTTTGTTCCCATCAGGGCACATATTTTGCACTTTGTCCCAAATACATAGTGTACTTTTCCTCCCAAGGGAAAGGGTTTTGTGTCAGCTAGGCATTAAAACTCTGAGTAACTTGAGCAGGGACTTGGGCTAGTGGTGGTTGGACTAGGACATACATGGGCATGTGTTATAGTCCAAAACTTCCTAGTTTCCACTTAAAACCCCTTTCTTAAGGCCTTGACTCTTCGATGCAAAACAGTCAAAGCCATTATGGCCAAATCTATCTGTTTCAGCTTCTCCCACATGAAAGTATCTCCTATATTTTAAATCTTGCCACCCTATTTAAGAAGAAATTTCCCATTTTTTCTAAATTCTTATCCAAAGCCAACTCCAGTGAAATACTGCTAGTTGTGTCCCTGAGACCACTACTCCTCATTGGCATACATGTGAGAATGATAATAATTGATTGTTGCTGACACAAACCACACTCTGGGTGTACCCCTGATACTATAAGCTCTTCTAAGTGAGGCTGTTAATCGGCTGTTAATCTGTTCTGCCTTCACAGAACTGAGATCCAGGTATTATACAAGAAGCATTTCCTTTCCTGCTTTCCACTACATAACCTTTAGGTGACTCTGTGATACAGCAGAATAGTGCAAATGCACAAAGGAAGTGTGCTTTCTTTTACTTTCACAATTAAATGCAGCATTTTCCTTGCTGGGAAAATAAAGTGAAACTACAGGGTCACTAAGAACCTGTAAATGTTTGTGAGCAGAGAATGACAAATGTATAATAGATGACTTGTGTGGAAAAGCCCTGGGTGGCCTGACTTTCACTGGCAGGGGTCATGTAATGGGTTCCACATATTTCTGTAAGCAAAGCATATTCTCCACACTTATGCACGGAAGGTCCTCATGAGTTACTTGCATATTACCATTTGCTAGTATTAATCAGCATGGAGATAGGATAGAACACACTTTAAATTATGAAGAGACAAGACTCCACCATGCATTCCCTAAAGGGCTTTCCCAGTGAATGTAGAACTGATTTTTGGATATGTAGTTCTTGTTGTTTCTAAACAAATGGGCCCCCTGCCAATTCAAAATGTTTTTCTGTTAAGAGAGAATTTTCCTGTACATTTTACTTTGACTGTTGTCAAATGCATTTTTTCTTCTTTTGAATAGTTCATTATTTCTGGATCCCTATCCGTGTCAGCTGAGAAACATCTAACCCCTGGCTTGGTGAGAAAGAACTAAATAACAGCTTTAATCTTGTCTATAATACTAGAGATCTCAACAACAACTAAGTTTCTTTCATCACACATATCCAAGGCCCTTCCACCCTCGTACCATAAATCAAAATATTCACATAGAGTTCTGTTATGTGGGTTCAAGGTTTTTCTTTGGAATCCTGAGGAAAGTGATATGCCAGGTCTGAGTTTGCTTACCAGATTTATTGAGTGAATGGATGAACATACAGTGCTAGCATGCTCTCAATCCACAATCAGACAGAAAGTCTCCCACCAGCTGGAACGGATGATCAGCAAAGCCTGATGGACTGAACAAGATGTCTGAACAAGGGGGAGTTCGGCTAAGCACCGAGTGATACTCTTTTTGCTGCTAATGCCATGAAACCTTGAAGTCTCGCTCTGACAAAATCAACATGAAAGTTTCTCACTGAAGCAAGTTCAACTGTGGCCAAGTATCCTACTGATAAGCAGGGTTACAAGGAGGGCTGGCAGATTCCCACAGGCACTACATCTAGCTGAAATGAAAGCTAGCTAGGTCCTGAAATGCAGGCCTTTTTACGGTATCTGTTAGAAAATTTCTGCTCATTAACTGGTGCTGTCTGCCCTTTGTCCATCTTCCCTGCCAAGTAGTCTAAACCAGGCAGACAAGATGGAAGATGTTGCTGTCCAATACAAGTGCTTAAACACACGGTGTATTGCTTCAAATTAAGGCTATTTTTGACAGTCGCAGACTTGCATCTGCCTCGCAAACTCTGGCCTGGCCCTCTTCTTTCAGGGCTCAGGCTGGCAACCGGGTGTTCCCAGCCTCTTTGGATGTTGCTTGGGTGGTGTGGGAATCATTGAACTGCAATGTTTTCCTGGACCTTGAAGGTATTGCAGAAGCCTCAAGTCCCACGGGTGGGGGGAGCACAATGTGGCTCCTTTCCATGCCAATCCTTCCCCAGTTTGTGGGAGGGATGGCAGTGGTAATTGAGCAAAGGACCAATATTGGGCAATGAATAAGCTTGCTTCTTACTGCTTCTCTACAGTCAAATATTGCTTTAGTCAAAGGTCAGTTTCTGGGAGGCGTGGCAGGAGATATGCAAAGTAGATAAGTACTCCTCTGATGTGACAAATGGGTGCTGGGATGGAAAAGAAATGTCTGATTATGTATAGGATGTATTCCAATGACAACTTCCCTATTAGAAGCTGTCATACAAAAGATTCTGGAAGAACAAGAAAGGAAGGACTCCTATGTTAGCCTTGGAGTCAAAGTTCAAAGCTCCAAATTCTCATGATTTAACAGAAAAATCGTTAAAAGATATGCCGATATAGCATTTTAAGCAGTACTCTAGTTTTCAAAAATGTAATGACCTAATGTTTTGCCAAAGGCGAAGTGTTCTTTTTGGACCCAGAAGCAATAACACACAGGTGAGTTAAAGTCCAAAGATTTTACTCTAAAACGGGCATTATACAATTCCAAGCATGCTGGCTTTCCTCTATCAGCCATTGGGAACCACCCTTCACGAACAGCAAGGAAAAAGCCCTACCAGATCTAACACTGGAGCTTGCTTGGGTGGCCACCGTGAGGTTTCTCTTCTATCCTAAATCTTAAGAGTGTTACTTGCTGTAGAAAACTACATCAAAACAGTTAATTAGTCACATCTGTTCCTGGCTCTCACAATGATAAGGATGGTTCCAAGGTCAGCAAGTAGCTTAGAAAACATTCTTTTGCCTTCCAGAGGATCTCAACTGAGTTTTTAAAGGGAGGGGGGCACTGCCAAGGTAGGAATAGAATGGGAAATATAGGAATAGAAGGGCAATGGTGTCACACCACCCTGCCTTCTCAATATACAATAGTCTTCCGGTAATTTTTCTCTACACCTAAGATGGGATTTGTAATTTATTTTTTGATCTACAGATGTTCCTGCACTTGATTATAATTAATATAATTGAACCCAACATAATTTCATAATTATTGATTCCTTCTTCTATAAGTTTTTTTTTACTAACTAGTGTTTTCTTGATCTTACCATGTTCTAAGTATGATAGAATGTTAAAAGGTTGCTAATTAGATTTCACCGAAACAGAGAACTCTACCTCATTTGAGTTTCTGAAGTAATGCTTTGAAGTCAAGGCTTTTTCTATAGACTTTCATCTCTAAAACGGACCATTTGCACATTTTTTTTCTAAGTGCTAATGAAATTTGCACCATTAAACACTTGAAAACCGTGCAGCACTAGTCTGATTTGTGCAGAATTGGCTGATTTGCACAAAACACAATATGCTCAAATCAGCTGATACGGCACAAACTACACTAGAGACACATGATTTTTGGTGCTTATTTGTGCATTTTCACTAGCCATTAAAACTTGTGAATTGCAATCTGTCTTAGAGATGGAATTCCCCAAGTTGGCTTGACTTTGCACTATAGCAAGTATGTGCCAGGGCAAAGCAAATGGACCAGAATTTGGGGGTCTGAATCTGGATTTTGCCTGTCAGGAAGTCATTTTATTCAACAGTTTGACATTAGGGCAACCAGTGCACTTTTTGGTATCCTAACTGATTGAATGTTTCTTTCAGGTGAGATGCAGTGTGGCGATGAACATCGTAAGCACTATTATGTCATTCACTGGCATCATTCTATATGTAGTGGAACTGGCAATAAGCAGTTTAATAAATTATCCCTCAGATCTACATGGCTATGATCTAAAAGAGGTAAGTAAGCACAGAAGTTTGACTTTATGGGTAAGATCCAAAACAAGGAATGTGTATAAATGAGGGAGAAACCCCATAGACCTTTGCTTGGTAATTTCACAACAGACTTCCCCATTAGTTCAAAAGGTGGTTTGTCTCTGCAAGAAAACAGCAGGCAGAACTCAGGCTTCACGTGTGGTTCTTCTACCTATGCATGCCTATTCCTTGGTTATCTGGGAAAAGTAAGCAATCTTCCTCAAAGCTCATGCACATCTCTTTTGGACAAGTAGATCTCTCCAGAAGTGCCTCTTCTGGGACTCAGTGCATGCAGGAGCAACCATTTTGTGAGGTTGCCTGCCACAAGTTGTCCCTAAGAAATTAAGGATGCAATCCTGTGCATACTGAACCAGAAAAGGAGTTGTGCAAGCCCTAGCATTCCCCCAGGCAGTCCCACTAAACATGCATAGGATTGTACCCTAAACTAAAATATAGCTGACCCACATAGTAGCTAACAATGCAGTAGTGAGGTGTAAAGGGACCTTCAGCTCCAGAAAATGAGTGGTGTTTATCTTATTCGATATGAAATACATAAGGATTCAGAGTAGTTTGAGATTTTTTTTCTGCTGCACCAGTCACTTCACATTCCCAGCATCTGTTGAAGTAAAATGTGTGGTTCTGAAGAACCTCAGATTTATTTGTAATAGTCATTGGATCCAGGTAAGAAGGCATGCTGCAGCCCCGCTGAACTGAAATTATTCGTGACTAAATTAAACCCCATTCACTGGGCTGTGGCTTTTTGCGAGGGTTAGTTGGCATGATGTGAGAATGGACACAATGTCTCCTCCCACAATAACTAAGGGTGTATCTAGTCCAATGGGGTCAAATTTTGGGCAACAAGGGGAAATGTCTGACTGTCCTGCAACTAGGGGTGCAAAGATCAGGTGCAATCCCGCCTTCGTGCACTCGCCAGGCTTCTTTTCTGCACTCAGCCTCGGCCAGGAGGTGAGCCAAACTGAGATCAGGTCCGTGAACACTTGGGGACACTGGCAGCTTCATTGCGCAGAGTATGCAAAGTACATAATTCTGTGCACAAAGAGTGCAAAAGCCACAGTCTGGTGTGCACAGGCAGAACTCTTGTTTGCACAGCAGGTGTGTGAATGCGGTGTGTGCAAGCCAGCCTCATGGGCTTGCTTCCTGCCAGATGCCCACACGAACATTGTGTGGCAGATTTACAGTAGAAAGTGGGCTGGAATCCCAGGAGGAAAGTCAAGGCGATCCAGCGGATCCCCCTCCCCAAACCAGATTCCTCACACATCTCCGCCTGGAACTCTTCCATCCCCAGTTGCATGACATACTTGGCCATAGCAGAATATTTTCCCTACAGTCAAAGGAACTGGTTACGCTTTCTCTTCAGACTTCCTCAGCAGCACTGTGAGGGCAAGGTTGGAAGGGGAGCAGTTGCCCAGCAAGTTCCCATCTCAGCCACACTGCTCATTTCTGCATGCCTGAAAGGGCCTTTTGTTCATCCTGATCCAATCCATGGACTTTGTCTCATAGTGTAACAGTTTCTGCTTGGGTATTTTCTGCAGCTGCTTCCTTTGTGCTGAAGGCTTCTGGCTTCTAAAGGTGGTGGGGTAAATGATGCAGGAAGATTGAAAATGAGTGTACTTGCATGCATGAAACTTCATCTGGATTTCCCATTAGACACATGCAAGTCAATTAATTTGCCTGTACTGAGAAGTATCTAACAAGTATCTTTCCACATGCAGTCTCTGAATACTGGTCTCTCAGTCCTGCTCTTCCTATTTAGTCTGCTGGAGTTCTGCATCACTGTCTCTACAGCTCATTTTGGGTGCCAAGCAGCCTGCTGTAACTCTGATGGGGTGAGTGTTTGATATTGTGCTTAGCTGGAGTTTAAGAAGAATGTACTGAGAAGTGTGAGGAAAGATTACACTGTTCATTATGCTTATACCCCATTCCATGTCGCCCGCTGCTTTCATCAACATAAGAACCCTGCTAAGTTAGCCTGAGCAATAGTGAGTGGCCAGCAACTGAGTGGGATTTAATAAGCAAGTGAACAAAGGATGAAGGATAACAATTCCAGAGAAAGGTGCGGGTATGGAAGCAATGTAAGAAAAGGGGGTTATTAGCAGATGTTGCCAAACTCGCGGGATTTCTTATATATATCTGATAATTCGGGATCTTCATAAGAGCTTTCAGGCTTCCTCAGTGCTAGTTTTGCTGCCATCTCTTGGGAAGACAACAAGGCTATTGCATCTGAAGTCGCCATACCAATGGGAGAGACTCCTGGACAGCGAGGGCAGGGCAGGTTTCCTGAGCTCTTTTGCCCTTGTTGCAACCTCACAGCATGAGGAAGAGGGCTGGTGTGGATGAGGCGCTGGGACGGGAGTTCCGAGCAAAGGATAAGAACATCAAGGCTTTGGTACAAAGACTTTTTTTCTTTTTTTAATTTTAATTTTCTTAACATATACAAATACATAGAAAAAGCTAGTATAAACAGAACAAACTAAATTAGACAAAATAGACAATTGTCAAGGGAATTTTAAACAGATACAGCTTATAGTACAACTCCCCAAACTGACTCTCTTCCTGTCTTCCCATGCTCTATGATAGTTTTCAGGAAAAAAAATCATTATTCTATACATCAACAGATACTGCTTTCCTCCCCCCCCCCCAAATTCCTCTGAACTTTCATTAATCATGCGAAGCACAATAAAATTTCCATGTGTCATTGAATTCTTCTAACAGTCTGGTACGAAGACTTCAGGCTGATAATCTGCTAAGAGCGGCAGTCCACACAGGTTGGATTCGGCCAACACAGTAACCCACTCTCAAGTCGAACGTAGATTGGGCATGGGCTGTGATTGAACCATGTGTTCTTGTTGAAATGTTAGTTATATTGCACTGCCAGAAAGGAGCTGTGCTAACAAACCGCAATTTATTAAGCAAGAGGAAACCGTTTATTAAGCAAGAGAACCCTTCTTTGCTTGTGATCTGCAGGACAAAATGATTGCTGTGACTGGGAAAGTCTCTAACGACTTGATTCTTCACAGATTATCTAGGTCAACAGACCTCCCCAGAGAGGCCCGCCTGGCGCCGTCATTATTTGTTTTTCAGCACCAGGCTGAGACCTTTTTATTTAAAACTTATTTTAATTGCTAAATTATTGTATTTATTAGGATTTTAAATTAGCCGAGAATGCACCAGGGGTTTTAAATGTTTTTTCTTTTAAATTGTTATATTGTTATTGTTTATGTATGTTTTTTTATATTTTTTGTGAGCCGCCCCGAGGCTTTGTTGCGATGGGGGCGGCATAGAAATGTTTTAAATAAATAAGTAAATAGAAAATACAACAAAAGCTATCTTGGGTTCCTTGCTTATCTGGATGCAATGCAAATATACAATAAGTCACATACATTGTGACAAAGAGGTTGATTAAGGACTGGCACCTGTGTAAATTCTGTTTTTCTGTTACCCCAGGAAGTGGTTTTTGTACCCTATGCTGTCAGTGGAGGTCATATGGTTCTGACTGAAGGCTCTGCTTCTCCTCTTCCTCCAATCTATCAAGCAGTGAGCCCAAGGGAAAAGCCGTAAAAAGCGTCATGCCAGCAATTCTGACAAGCCAGCTATCTCAGGAAGAATACTGTGATCGATTTTCTTTAAAAAAAGGAAAAATTGCAAATATTGTCATTTATCCAGACTGGGTGCTGGAATGGTGAATTTTAGGAGATTAACCAATTCAGTTAATATATAAAAATGAAGAAGCATCTTTCTTCTGCCCCATGCAGGAGAAAATGGCTTTCTAGTGCTGAGGCTTGTTGTAACAGGTGCACGTACCACTGAAAGCAAAGATGTTAGGAACGTCTCTTTTCTTCAGAGCTATCATTTTATTTATGATAGAGAGTGCCACGTGTCCAGCTGGCATTGATCGATATTCATTCCAAGGCCAATCATGCATGTAATTGCATATGAATTCTTCACTAGGAGAACCACCCACCGACAAACTGATCCTAAAAGAGATCTTGGACTGTACAGGAATGGATAGATTGACTTTGTCATTGAAGGAGAAAGAAGATACTGATTTCTATCAAACTTGGGACTCTTTTTATTATTGGCTAGAGAAACGGGACTTCGTATAGATTTAAACCTGTTTTTCAGTTATCATAAATGGAAAAAAATGTGGGGGCTGACCCAGCGGGTCCGATATTTCTGATGATCGATGTTGCTTTTAGTTTTTCTTTGTTTTAGGGTTATAATTTTGAATAAAACTTATTATAAAAAATGAATTCTTCACTAGGGTTATCTCACAATCCTGTGCCAATCCAAGACAGCTCTGTCAATAAAACTTGCAATGGAGCCCCTTCTTTGCCTCTGAATCTGAGATGTCTAGTGTGGGAATAGATAGAGCAGTCTATTCCAGGACCCCCATGACTGCGTTGATCAGTCCCAAGCCCCCCAGCAGATGCCTGCAACTGTTGATAATAGCAAACGCGATATATGATATACAATACAAGGTGTTGGTAATGGCCTATAAAGCCCTAAACGGCTTGGGTCCTGGTTACCTGAAGGAGCGCTTACATCCTCATATGCCCAGCCGCCCCCTGAGATCGGCGGGAGAGGCCCTTCTCCGG